CCCTGAGATTGAGGAACTGACACACGCTAAGTTAAATAAGCACCTCTACTTTTCAAGTACTTTCATTTTAGGGGAAAAATGTTTAAATATGTGCATTCATAGCTTACTATTGCTGAACACAGAGGTTTTTCTTTCCACCAGCAATGTGTCAGTTTTGAAGTGTGGATTCTTCTTTATAATAGGAAACATTTTTCATCCTTTCTTGTGACCTTAAACAAAGGCAATTAATAAGTGATCACTAGTCTATGTCAGGTTTGTGTCCATGACCAGCACCACTGACAGAAGAGTAGAAAAATGAATTTACAACCATGGGACAGGCCCCTCCCCATTAATAATGATGCTTCATGATAGAAAACTGGCTGGAGCCAAAATCAAAATATCTTTAATATTTAGATCATATAAAAGAAATAAACAAATTTATACATGTTAACATATCTTACAAACCTGGAGATTCCCACTATTTGTTTAAATTGCTTATTACATAAATGAGAAATTAACTTTAAATAGCCAGATTAGCAAGATTCCATGAAAGATGACCTTCTGTTATATGCCTTTTAACTTTTTTCACAAATTGGTTCAAATAACCCTTGTTGAAGGAGTTGCTGAATATCAGCCAATTACCAAAAAAAAAAAAAAAAGATAAAAGCTTTAGGAAAAATTCTATAACAAATCCTTCTGTTTACAGAAAGCTTGGCAGTATAGCTGTACCCAGGGAATATTACTTTCCATGGTGAAGATATGGGTCCTTGAGATCCAATGAGGAAAAGTGATCTGTTGTTATCTTTCACAGGGTGGTAGACAGCTTTCATCAAGAGCAGTGCATTTGACTTTCACAGATCACCAGTGGGTTAAGAGAACAGATCGTCACTGAGGTAATCTTTGTAAAAGTAATGGTTTATGACTATTTTTATTTTTTATTTCATTTTAAAGTAGTGTTCCCAAGTACAGAACCACTGTACCTTGTTTTATAGACATAAAACTTTTTAATGCTAGGTTAAGAAGTAAGACTCAGTTGCACCAAATTATTTTCTTCATAAGTAACTTTGGAAGTCTGTTATTAATAGGCATAATAGAATAAAATTAGCAATGAATTTAGTAACTAATAGGAAAGTGCACAAAAATGTATTATCCACCTATGTCATATAAAATATAATATAATATATGTATAGATGTATATCACTTTGGTTTCATTTTTTCAGAGGAAAAATTATCTAAAAATTACAATATGCCATTGTGATGGCAGTCTTTATATGTTTAGACTGATAGAATCAAATGATAAATCTGGATTTTAAAGGCATTTATTTTTATTGGTACCTGTTTTCAGTACATAAAGATTACATTCATTGTGGAGAGTTGGTGCATGTACACAACACATCTTAACTATTTTGTGTCCTCCTCCTCCTTTTCTCCTGCCCCTTTCCCTCCATCTCTTGCTCCTCTTTCCATTTGTAAAGATCTGATTTGTCACTAGTTCATTTGCCAGAACAATTTTTAGAATCTCTCTAAGTCTGTTTCTTCATCTTCAACAGAGATTGACACGGCACTCATGACACAGGGTTATTGGATGATCATATGGACTAACATTTACAATGACTTAGCATAGTATTTGACAATTTATAAAAGCTTAATAATAATAGTTCTCTTATTTACTAATTGCCAGGTTAATAAATCCACCTCTAGAAAAACTAGTTTTTTAAAAAGTTGTTAGTTATAATTAATTTAAGTGAGAGTGCAAGATGTTTATAGTTTGGTGAAATCCACAAGGTGAAACACATCCATTTCTTTCCTCCCAAAATGCATCATTGGTTGCTTTTGCAAAGAGAATCATGTGTCATCGTGAAGACAGTACAGCAGAGCATCAATAATTGAGACAGAGTTCATACATCCACCCTAAATTTTCAATCTCGAGGTTTACTATATTCATCATTTAAACAATATTAGAATGTAAGTTAGGGCTGTAAAGTACAATTTTGGATATAATTTTTTTCTAAGAATTGTGATACTTTTATTTTGTAAGGTAACATTTGAATGTTTTCATTTGGTTGTATTAGCCATCCATTTGGATAAAAAAATCTTAAAATATTCAAGCAGTATGATTTTTAAAAATTGCAAAGAAATAAAATCAAGCATTAAAAGTGGCAAATGTCACTGGCACAGGCAAGAGCCTTGGTAACAGACAGGGACAAGAGATCTTGTGAAGAAGTCAGTTAAACTGTGAAGATCAAGAGTCACAGGGATGGATACAGCATGGTATTTTTAATCCTCCATGGAGTCTGGAGTCAGAAACATGAAGACTTTTCCATAAGATCAATTAAATAATTACATACGAATGTATTTCACTTTTTGTAAAGATAGAGACTTGGCCTTCACCCTTTAAGGCAGAGATTTAAAATAAAAAGAGGCTGAAGAACACATTCTCTGATCTTTATGGCTACAAATATCTCCAGATCTGGTGTCTACTCCAACACTCTTCTTGTCTCCAAACCTGTCCTTCGTCCTACAGAACGCTAAAGAACAAGATAAATAGAGACAATGAAGATAGATGGGGCATCAAAGAACCAATCTAGGAGGAAAGGTTTACGACTGCCCTTCTGACACACTCAGAGTGGCATCATTAACAGTTCTAATTACTTTTTTCGAGCAATTGGTTCACTTTTTTGTCTCAAACACTGCTATTGTTTGCAGTCCTAGACTCTTACTTTTCTGTGTTTTCATCCAGTTTACTTCCCATTTGCTCAGATTGTTAAAAAATCTCTAAAACAAAAATTAAAAACATTCTTCTATTTAAAATATTTGTGTCTAGAAATTGTTTAGGCATTTTATGTGTTCTTTTGTACCTTACAGAAATAAATGAGTGATTATTCTTTTAAAAAATTCACTAAAATGTAAGGAAGTTAGCAAGGACATTAAATGTATAGATTTATAACACAGCATAAGGAATATGGCATGGAGATTTATTATTACCTAAAATAATTTAATTTAGAAACCGTTAAATGCAAGTTTACATCTCTAGATTTCACCGTATGTGTTTTGACATTTTATTATTAAAAATAACTTCTGATCCCAACTTTTCACGTTATTATCTTTTTCTGAGAAAATCCACTAGCATTTCTGTGGATGAACTCAAGGTGTTGATCCCGCCAGGCAAGTGTTCCACCAGTGCACTATACTCTGATTACTCAGTTTCACAATTTCATAATTATTAACAAGATGAACCTAATATACTGTCAAGGTTTATGTCTGTGGCCCCTAGACCTCATGCATTTGTATTCTGCATTTGTGATTGGTTCATTGTCTAGAGCTTGGATTGGGGGTTTGAGTGCTAACACTGGCCTAGGACTGGAGCCAGGATGTAATGTAATGGCAGGAAGAAGATGTGTCTTGCTCTCTTTTGCGGGTTTCTGCCTTGCTGTTTACATCCGCCATGAACTGAGATCGCACCATGCCACCCTGCCTCGGAGCCAACTGAGTATGGACTGAAACCTCCAAAAACTGTAAGAAATTAATCTTTCCTTTCCTATCTTTGGGCATCAGTATTTTGTCACAGGGACCAGTAAAAAGTAACTAAGACATATGCTGAGGAGCCTTCAAAATGTTGTCGCTGTTACTCTTCTTGCTGTTGTAGGAATCCTCTTTGTTTTTACAGATCAAAGCAGTTCTAATTGTACCCATACCTGTGAGGAATGCTGTTCCTACCTGTATACTTATACAGGATCACAGATGTTCCCAGAGGCAGAGCCCAGGTGTTCCCGCCCATGCAGTCTCAACTAAGCCTGGGCCGTCAGCACCCACGGTGGTACTGTCCTCTACTGTCTTAGCTTCTCTCAGGGATGAGAGAAGATAGGTAATCCCTGAGAAGTCAAGTCCCCTAGCTCCTTGATGGACTTTTAATTGTTGAGATCTGGTCTCTGAACAGCCAGTGTTACTGATCTAAAGCTGCTTTAGATTGATGTAGGCCTGGATCTTAGGATCTTAGAGAACATGTGTGTGTGTGTGTGTGTGTGTGTGTGTGTGTGTGTGTGTGTTTATTAATACTGAGGCATCTTCAAAAGTATTGACACTGTCTCTATCCCTCAATAAAACTTCTACTAATATAAGTAACGTTGAAGAAAAAGAGAGTGTATCACATCTTTTATTATTTTCAAGACCTTTCAATTTGAATAGTTTCACCCACAATGCACCCTCCACCCTGGAAGAAGAGGGTGGCAGCTCTAGGGTGTCCAGGAGTATTTGATGGGACCATAGTCAGGCAGTGCTAAGGCCAAAGGTGGTTTCCTTTCTTGCCCTTTGCCCTTGGGAAGCACAGTTTTCTGGGTTCCAGTCCTAGATCATCTCAGCGCCCGTGCTGCCTAGGATTTCGCCTCTGATTCCGTTGCCCGTGAACTGCACACGCCTTTCTTCCTTACTTCAGAGGCTCATCGCCAAGGCGGGCACTGGCCAGACACCCTGAACTTTCTCGCTGAGACTGGGGCTTGGGGGTTCCCAAGGTTCCAGTTTGTCTGGAGCACAGGTGGTCATCCACGGGGTGGCTCCTGTGAAGCCAAAAAACAAAACAAAAAACAAACAAAAAGCAAAAAAAAAAAAAAAAAAAAACAACCCCACAAAAAACCTCAAAACCAAAAAACCCCAACTTTCTCCTCGGCCCTGCTTCTGCCAGCAGTCTAAGTGCTGATTTCGGAATCTGGCCCTCAGGGAACGTGCTTGGTGCCAGACTCCATCCCCGCCGCACCCCTCACCACTATAAGCTCCGAGCCACTTTTCCGCGAACGCCTCCTGGGTTCCGTCCCGTGCCGGGCTCGAGCTCGCCTGGCCTGGCGTCAGGCTCTGGGAACTCCCGGAGGCTCCGCGCCGCCTCCGCCCTCTCCGCGCGCCCCGCGCGGACGCCGGATCCTTGCAGTTTGTGAGCATGGCAGGTTTCCACCGGATGACATCATGGGCGCCGAGTGAGTGCCGGCTCGGAGCGGGGGCCGGGGCGGGAGGGGCGGAGGAGGGAGCGGGCCGGGAGCCGAGCCAGAGCCGCTGCCGGCCGCCGGGCTGCTCGTCCGCTGGCAGGGAGGCGCGCTCCGCCGGCGGGCGACAAGGGCTGGGAGGCGGCCGCTGCCCCGGGATGCCCGCTGCGCGCAGCCGGCGGCGGTCTGAGCCACTTCGCCCTGCGCGGTGAGTGATCGCGGAGACCGCCCGGTGGACCTCGCATGCGGCGCACTCTCTCCGGCTTGCGGTGCTGGGAGCTCGGTCCCCGACCTCGAGCGCGGGACTTGGCACCGCGGTAGCGTTGAGCGCAGGCAGCAGGTGCCTGGCTCGGAGGGGGCGCGCGTCCGAGCTTGCGCTCCCGGCTGGGGTTCTCGGCGGGTGCCGGCACCCAGCTCGCCGCGTGGGAGCCGCTCCGCTGGGTGGAGGCTCCTGCAGCCGACTGCCTCGGGCAGTTTTTCCTGGTTGGACCCGGCGCCAGCCCTGCGCTCTCGGGGCTTCTGGTGGATCCCGAGTGCTGGGCGCGCTGTTTACACCAGCGTCGTAGTAGTCACCCAGCCGCACCCCTCCAAAAGCGCGGAACCGACGACAGTCACTTCACCTGCTCGGGCGCTCCCCGTGTGGGCTGGCGGGGGCGATCGCCGTTTATCCAGGAGGGCGCGCAGCGCGCAGGACCGGGCAGCCTTTGTCTGGGGTTTAACGCGGATGCGCTGGAACCTGTGCGAGGCTCCTGTGTCTGCTCCGTGCACTCACCCGGCTGGGGGAGAGAGACCACCGTGTTCCTGTGGCCGGGGGACTGAGAGCCGGGACTGGAGACCGGAAGGGTCCTGCGCTCGCGGGTGAGTGTGTGTCTCAGTTGTTCAGGTGCAGAGCTACCTTCTGGGGTTCCAGGGCGCGAAGTGATTGAGAGACGCCCAAGTTCTACCCCTGAGTGGTGCGAAGCAAAGAGCAAACTTTGTGTTTTGTTTTTGTAATTTTTTTTTTCTTTTAGGATTTTCGAAGCATTTGTCTTGGGGATTATTTGTGACAGGTGGATGGAGTCAGAGGCAGGTTCAGTATGTAGTTAAGACAGCTGCTCCACGTTTTCTTGGCAATTTCTTTTGTTACTCAGGTCCGGCAGAGGTTTGCTTGATAAACATGTTTGAGATAGGCGTTTTTCCTACTGTTTCGCCTTGCGGGGTTAAGGGCGCTCAGAATCTGCTTAAGTGCCTTAGTGGAGAGTTGTACCGCGTACAGGTGCCAGTCTACCAGTGCCCACACCTACTGGCTTTCTTCTGCCAGTGGATTTCCTAGTTGGATCCCTTCTGTTTGAGGAGAGTCCAATTTTTGCATCTCAAGGAAGTAGCGATATCTATTGGAGTATTTGTGTTTACTCTCATCTCCCCCCACGTCCCCGAAAACTCACTTTGTGAAAAAGATGGAAACAAGTGAAAATGTGTTACTTTGGGGAGTAGTTTTCCATTTTGAAGCTTTTATCTACTGCAATCTGAGGTCTTCAGACATTTAAAGCTATTTTGTATTTATGAATTTTATTTATAATAAATAATCCCCCAACACTAAAGAGACTCTTTATACACAATTTTGATATTCCAGCACGTAACACAATGGTCAAATATAAGAAAGTCACAATAATAGGACAGTTATAATTCAGTCACTGGTTTTTCTTTGACATAAAGCTTATTTTTTCTTCAAATTACTTCTTTTACTTTAAAGACTGATGATTCTAGTGAAGCTTTTCAAAAGAGTGGAATCACAGTTACTTGATCAGTTTTGCTCTCTGATAAAGTTTGAGGTCCTTTCAGAATAGATGTGGGGGAAACTGCTGGGATAATAGATACGGTACATGTAACCAGGGGCCTGCGTGAGGTCTGGGGGAGGTTGTGGCAAAGAGTGATGGAACTAAGAAGGTATCAGAAGTGTCACATCAGCTTTGATATTGGACAGCTCATTGTGGCTTTTACAAGTTTGTCTTCCCTGGGGAGTGCATAATTAAGTGTTTGATTATGTTACAGGATGTTGACAGATCAATAACACGACCAAGGAGGGCTCATTTTTTCCCAAGACTTGTAGATCTAGCAGCAACATTTTCTTCTGTGATTCAGAAATAATCTTTATTTTATCATCCAACTCGTAACTTCTTGTCACAAAAGTCTCCATCTGTTTCTTTGAAAGTTTTCTTTCCAGCTATCTTGTACGTGACTCTTTATGGTAAAGCATACAAAGATCACATCAAAGTTTTTAGAGAACCTGTTGCTCTGACCACTGTTCTCCTTAGAGTATTTGAGAGCAAAAGCTCTCTTTCAATCGGCCCCATGATGTGCTTAAGTGACAGATGTACCCAATGTGAAAAATTCATATTATAAAATGTACATATAATTCTTGTCAGTCAGACAAGACAGGCCAAGACACACCAATGACAGGCAGGAGGCGTGGTAGTATTTGGCTCATGGATTTTGGCAAAAGATATATTTAAAAACCAGATTTTTTTTTTACCCATTTCACATAGTAAAAATGTGCACTATACTTATAGTTGACACCTAAGATATTTAATTTTATTTCTGAATTTTAATTAAGATCGAATGTGCTTTGTTATTAGAATATGCAATACAGTGTGTGAGAAAAGTCCCCAGGAGGCAAGCATCTTATAAATATGACTTGATATGTTTGATAAGCAGTACAGCTTTATTTATTTATTTGGTACCAGAGATCAAACTCATGACCTTGTGCATGCCAGGCAGGTGCCTGTGCCACTGAGCTGAAACCCCAGCATCTAGTGCAATGTTATTTTAAAGAAAGACATAGAGTAACAAAATGTCCTCAAAATAAAGATTACTCTGTCAGTTTTTTAAAATGGGTTTTATAAATACCAACTTTGACTATTTTGGAACACACAGACTTAGAAAAAAGTCCAAGTTAAAGAGGAAGTTGCGTGATAAAATAAAAACAATGCCATAGCATGGAGCTGGAGAAGGTGAGAATGATAGTCCAGGGTCATGGAAAAGAGAATTGTTCCAGTGCCATATTTTTTCCAAGAAAAGATTATGTATATGGAGTAAGTTGATACTATTTGATGGTTTCTTTCTTTCCTTGTTCCTGTTGGTTGACTTCACACACACTTTAGAAACTCCCTCATAGAAATTTCCCTACTTTCCTTGAGGCAAAATTATATCCTGAACTGAATCATAAGTTTTTCTTGTGGCCTTTCTGTAAGGTTGTCTTACAGCTTTTCTAAGTGTAGGAGGCTTATGGATCACTAAACATTATGGTTTTAACTTTTATGTAGATTTTGATAGGGAAATTGGTCAGTAAAAGTGTCCTGAAAGGTTTTGGCATCTTAGCTTCTTCCAAAATTACACACTAAGAGTGAGAGCTCTTAGCTATAGGATTGTTAAAAATACTGAGGAATGTTATGATACTTAATTCAAAAGGTACATATAATGTTAGTTGAGCTTTGATAAACAGAAAAAATTGAGACAAATTCTTTAGAAGCTACTGCAATTATTCCTTTGCTATTTATTTGATATACTTTGCTATCTGATATTTTTCAGCTCTGTAGTATCCAAATGATGAACAATGAATAGGAATTCTACATTCTAGTTTAGATTTTGTTGTATCATCAAAGACAAGCACCTGAGTCTCTTTGGGCATAATTTTCATTTTATATAAAATAAAGATGAAAATATCTGACTTGCTTTCCAACTGGGGGAGGGAGTAGAACTCAGCGAATGAACTAATACACAAAAGTGATTTGGAAAATTTAGAAAGAACTATATAGAAAATATGAATTATATGAATCACTGAGTATCATAATGTCTTAATTTCTAATCAGTTTAGTTAAAGAAGTAAGTTTATAGAAGTGAATCTAGTATATGACTTTTTATTTTAAGCACCTGTATTTTAAATTTATGATATCCTTAACAACTCATTTATTATAATTATAAAATAATGAAGTTGTTTATTATATCTTTTTTAACCAAAAGTTTGCTGACAAAAGCTTTTTGGGAAGTTGAAAATTTTTATACAGCTATAATTTTTAAAGAATGTTTTAAGTAGGTGTACAATTTTTTTCAGTGGGTTTTTCTTTGTTACTCTTTTTGACTCCTGGCTGTTACTACACCTATCAGTCTTGTTGCTTTGAAGGTGATGTCTCTTCATTTTGACTGATTTTAAGGTTTCTTTTTTATTTGTCTTTTTTAAAAATTCTACTATGATGTTGTTTGTTGTCATTTTTGTTATATTTATTCTCTTTAAATTCAGGGCTTCTTGAATTTGTAGACTGATGTCTTTCATCAGGTGAAATTCATCAGCTTCTTAACTTAGCTCTTCCTATCTACCATTCTGTTTCTTTTTTAGGATCTCAGTTCTTGTTTAACAGATGATTTTATTGTAACCAATATGGATGTTACACACTCAGTTTGGTCTTTTCTACCATTATTTTAACCTCTCTGTGATTGTTTGAATATTTTCTTTTAAATTTTTCTTTAATCTACTAATCATTTTTTACATTATGTCTATTATGCTGTCAAACTTGTGTCAGGGTATTACTAAAATTACTATATATTTTTTCAGTTTTGAAAATGCATTTTATCCTTTTCTATAGATTCTAATTTATTTATCTTCCAAGTCTTATCCTTTACTACTTTGAACCTATTAAACAAAATTTTTCTTGTCATAGCATACGTATTGAAATAAACACAGGTTGTTGCACATGCTATGTGAGCACTCACTCTACCATTGAGCTATATTCCAACTCCTTTAATCCAAATTATTTTAAAACTTTGTCTGATATTTCCAGAAACTGTATTTTTGTGTCTCTTTTCATTGTCTCTCTTTACTTGTGACTTTAGTGGTTTTGTGTGAAAATTATAGAGGCTCTAGATGATCTATCTACCTCCAAATGACTATCAACATTTCCGTAGATAGCTACAATGGGGAGGTGGCTGATCATTGTTTTCCAGTCATGACCGAGCTGTGTCAGTTGTCATTAGACTTCATTTTCTCTCTGGAGAGGGTATATAATGCCTTCCACTAGTCTATTCATAGGTTACAAACCAAGTTTAATGCCCTATGTGTAAATCATGCCTGTTTCAGTGGGATGCTCCCCCTTTTTTTGCTCATTAGGTGAATCTTGGCTCCTCATATCACTATCTTTCTACGTCCACTTCTCCCAGGACTACAAAATACCCTGT